GGGGGGGGGGTTAATGAAAGAAGATGGGAGGGGAAGGAGGTAAAGGGAAAAGGGAAAATTTGTAAAGGGGAAAAAAAAAAAGATTGGGGTGGGGGGAAGAAGGTGATATCATTATTCCTTCTCTGACCAGCCAAAAGTGACCCTGCAGCATAGGCTCGCTTGCGCCAAAACTAATGCGCTGCCACAGCTGGCTGCTCCTGCGCCTGCGCCACCAGAACCCAAGTGCAAACCACCATGTTCAGTTCTGCCAACCAACAACCGACCCTCATACTGGGACTCATCTGGGAAGTCAGTTGCCTTAAGACTCTATGTTGGACTCCTCTTATCTGAACACCTAAGGGCTTTTGCTAGGTTTTCAAGTCCGATCTAGAGAGTGCCACTTAAAGCCAAGTTTTCCCACCCCACCCCACCTCCTTCACCAGTTTCCCAAAGTGTGTTCTACAAAATGTTAACGGGTATCACTGAAAAAAAGGATTCCATGATCAAGTAAATTAGGAGAAAAGAAACCCAGTTTCTTTGCTACAGAACTTCCCTAAGTCCGTTTGTTTATACAGGATTCCCTCAACTTAGTTGACCATGGAACTCTTTCATTAGACATTTTTAGAATACCACAAAATACATTTTGGGAAATGCTGCTCTAAACAACAACGCTCCTCGCTAACGTCAAAACTATATTACTGAGGAGAAAAGGGTTTTTCTGCCATGTCAGGTATGAGAAGGTCAGGCTCTAAGTTATATTCTCGCAATGCCCCTGTCTCCCAAGGGGGACTGAAGCTGAAACCTCATATGACAGGATTGCACCTAGGTTGAGGTCCCTGTAATGCGAGCGCAAACATCGCTTGCGCGACCTAACAGCAACGCATTGCGCAATCGCTGCGAACTGCTGCGCTACAGAGAACACCCCTAGACGCAGCAAACGGCCAACCAGATCCATTAATCTACTAGACAGGCCCATAGAGAATATTTGTTTAATGAGATTAGTTGGACTGGAGGTATGTTAAGACCCAATTTTATCCAAAAAGGCTACACAATAGGACTGAGGGAGCCAGTCAATCAGATTACTCATCTAGTCAACCGTTCACAGGGGCTCATTTGCACGCATTGCGCGTTAACGCTGCGCAGCCTTTGCGCTACTGCAGGGTCACAGCGCATCATCAGAAGAGCAGAATGCTGCAATCCAAACAAAGAAGAAAAAAGGAAAAAAATGAACAACAAGAAGAGTTAGAAGCTTTTACTAGTAAATTATCTCTAATAATTTTTAATATCAATTAACTTTTACTTATCTTTGACAGAATTGTGGCTATAGTATAAAACATTCTCTTACATAACTTGCTTGTAAATAAAATTATTTTAAGCTGTTTCTGAAGCCACAAGACAGAAGATTCAGGCATGGAGGCAAATTGTTTTGCTGTGGCAGTTACAAACCCGTTACCATATTTCTCATCATGTGACTTTTCGGTGCGTTCCTTGCTGGAAGAGGAGGAGGTGTGTGTCTGCCCTAGATCCAGGCCTCGAGCTCCCTTCAGCGAGGCACCTTACGCATGGAATAGGAGGTTTCACCCACCTGAAACCTTCTAAATACAATATCAATGGTGAAAAACCAAAAACAAGAGAGAAAATAAAAACAAGATCATTAGTAAAAGTTCAACAAAGCAATTGAAATTCTTTGGATGTCTATTACATATGGGAATGAGGACAGTCTCAAGTCTGTAATATGGGAAACATGCAGAAGGGAGAGGGTTAATCAGGGCTATTGCATACAGCAGGGATTTTTGCTGGAAGAAAGGCTCTTCATTTTCTACAAAGACAACTTAATTTTGCTTCCATCTAGTAGGAATATGCTGGCTTGAATTTTCAAATGCACTGATTACAAAAGAAATACATTGCATTTCACTCAAGAGTATGTTCTTGTTCACTAAGTTCTCACAAAAACAGAATAAACATTTTTCAAACTAGGTGTCTCCAGAGCTCTGAAATAAAGAAGTCAGCAACCTAAGGCAGGCGCAATGTCTCAGCCTAAACCGATCTCTAAAGCTGCAGTGAAGTGCAATTCATGTTAGCTGTCCGCTTGGTGGGGTGACAATTAATAGGAGCTTATTCAATATTTGTTCTATAAATTACCAATTAGATTTATCAACTAAGATTGAAATCCATTACAATTCATTAGCTGGAAACCTACATAAAGGTTAATCCAAAGTGTCAGCAGAATTTATGAGCTATGCACTTAAAACTAGTGCCTTTTAACATTAGATGGTGCTGAAAAGCCTTCTCCCTCCCTGATGAAGCAGTCAAACAGACAGCTACGCTGCGCATACACTCCACGCATTAGCATGCGCGTGGGGCTCAGAGCAACAGGTGGGAGTTTCAGAAGCATTCTGGTTTCTCCCCACTCCTCACCCCTGCAGCGCGGTTGCGTAAGGTGGCTTGTAACAAGACAATTTCATTTGGAAATTTAATTTACAATTATACCAAAAGCTTTAATAACCCAACCTGATGTTCAAATTCATTATTTGGAAACACAGAATGCTAAAAGCCACCTTTCCACTTTGGCAAGTTTTCTTTCGATCAGTCCATTTCCCAAACAAACCAGCTTTGTCCTTCTGCTTTTTTTTAAGGAGGTAGGGTGGGGAGGAATAAAAGAAGGAAGTAAGGAAGAAAAGAAGGTAGACAACTAGGGTTGGAAAAGAGGAAAAAGGAACTTAGGGAGGGAGTGGGGACAAGAGGGGGCAGGACGTTCCAATTATTAATTTGCAATCATTTTAACAGCCTTTCTTCCACTGTAAAAAGGGTAAGGAAGATGAAGGGAGGAAGGTTAAATAAGAATTTTAAATGCCAGTATTACAGGGTAACATTTGGATGAAATTCTTCTCCACTTACAAGCCACAAAGGACTTAGAAGAGCAGCATTTTCAATGGCACCTGCATCATATAGGAGTCTTGAGCCAAATCACAGGCGCTCTGCTTGTCACCAGCAGGCAAGCCTCAGATTTGAAGGAATGTTACTTATTCCCACATAAGATCATGACGGAGCCCATTGTTATAAAGATGATCTAGCTCAGCAGAAAGGCTCCAAAATGTTCAGGTTCTTGCTTTACCCCCAGATTTAGAACAGAAACGCCAAAGCCTGGCCCTGCTCTAGTCTGAGGTGATTCATGCCGACAGTTTTCCTCAGTTTCATAGGACTGTTTTTTGGAGATAGCTCAATGAAGAGTTGAAGACTTGGCAAAAAGTACAAGTTTTCATAACACTGATGTTTAAATGTGTTCTATCAAACACCTACCTTGGCTTCTTCCAAGCGACCCAGGGCTTTGAGCAGGTTCCCCAGGTCACTGCGAACACAGTACAAATCCTAGAAACCGAGAGATATTCATTAATTATACTGTCGATCAAAAATACCTTGAAATTACTTTTATGCATCTAACTCCCTGCCATTTTCTTCTGTAAACTAAAGACTCTGCTTGACAAATCAAAGTAGAGAACCATAATCCCTCATTCTCAATTCCAAATTCCAAAAAGTTCCCAAAAAACTTATTTGATGATTAAACCTAACCAGAACTGGCGCGAAGCTATGTATAAAATTTACCGATCCCACTTAGTGCGACTATTCACACCTTTTGCTGCAGAAATATAAATGTGTCTTACTAGAAGGTGCTGCTGCAGACCTACCTGGGAGTTTTATACAGATATCACCATCTTTCTAAAATCCTAAAAATCCTGATTTGGAAATACATTTGATCCCACCAGTTTAAGATAAAAGACCATGGGCCTTACTATAGCTTCTCCTCTCCCTAAATATCATCACCTTAAAAAGAAAGGAAAAAAAAGCATTAAATATTTGTTCAACTATTTTGTTCAAAGGTTACGATGAATCACTCCAGTATCAAGGGCCAAAAATTTTCCATGGTGAAAAAAAGTATTTAGCTGTGACTGGCTATCAGCAAACCTACCCTTAGGCTGTCAGGCATATTTAGAAGCCTTGACTTCATTTCAGTATTAGACAGAAGGATTACCATCCAACCAAAGCTTCAATCCTGGCACCTGCCACTAGATTACTCATTAGTATTAAGTGCCATTAGAGTTGAGTGGGTGAATAATGAAAAGCAGTTGACTCTGCTTTTTATTAGCAGCGCAACTGTGTTGCTAGTCATCTGACTCACCAGTCCCTTCATCAGTAAAAAGACTCATCAGAACAGTGAGCTTAAATTTTTGTCCTTGTTTGCCTTTGTTATTCAAATCTATCAGTCAACAAGCACAGACAATGGCAATAGGGAGTAAGCTTATCATTCCAAACTGTTGCATGGGTAAAAGAGCCTTAAATTAAGTCCCAGTAAGTGAATTTTTGCCGATTGTGCCAAAGTATCATCATATATATTACTCTATGAACAACTGTATATGGTTTCCAGAATCCGGTGATCAATTTTACTGATAAACAGCCTTTGTGAATGTATGTTATCATCCATCAAGTGAACCAAGTCAGCCAGCAAAGAACAGGCTGCCAGGGAACACCTTTATGGTTGACCATACTGGGTCAGTTCCATGATCTACCTGATGTGTCCAGTCCATCAAGCAATGACTGGCGTTTTGGGAGAGAGTGACAGTCTCCCACGACCTCAAGTACAAAAGGCTAATACTAATCTTCAAAAAAGAAAAATCATAGGTATCATCAATCTTATTACAAATTTATCCTCCTCTAATGAGTCTAAGCATTTTTAACCCTATTTATACTCTCAGAAGTAATGAATTCTATAACGTTGTTATCTACTTGTATAATTTTTTTCCTAAACTTTAAGGTTACCCTTCTGTTTTGGCCAACCATAACTGAACAATCCAATCTGTTCATACTAGCTACTGCTACACCTGATTATTGTAGTTCTAGATCTTTGGACATCTACCAATTCCTATAACTTTTCTGCCATAAGAATCAAAAATTTTGCAATAAATCTCCAACAGTGACCGGAATGAGCAATTCATTTTAGCCAACGATATTGGGCAACTTTTACCCTCTAGGGTTTTTTTTAATGTTTATTTTTGAGAAAGGGAGCAAGCAGGGGAAGGGCAGAGAGAGAGAGAGGGAAACAGAGGAGTCGAAGCAGGCTCTGTGCTGTCAGTGCTCAGCCTAATGCGGGGCTCGAACTCTCGAACAATGAGATCAGGACCTGAGCCTAAGATAGACACTTAACCAACTGAGCCACCCAGGCACCCCTACCCTCTAGTTTCTATAAACTCTTGGATGGATGCCATCCAAGTCCTGACAGTATCTACTTATATTTAGTGATATCATCTTGATCCACTACAGCATACTAAATCAAGTTAACACAATGCCCACAGTTAAAAATAGACTATCTTCAAGATAATAAGATAATCAACAAGGCAATTTTAGAAAAAGGTTAAAATATTTCATATTAAATACAGTATAATACTGAAACCCAATTCTCCCATTTGGAAATCCAAACCTTTACACACAACAGATTCCTAGGAAATTCAAGGGTACCATTATTCCCCCAAAAGTTCAAAACCTAAAACTACTTTAAAATGAGTAAGAATTTCCTGTATAACCGGCCCTCCTAAAATAGTATTTCCTGCCTTTCCTCCTACAGCCCCCACCCCTACCCACAACATCTATATATACACATACACACGAAGTAAAATCAGGTTGATAAAAACCTACAGTACAGTAGTTCTCAATCGCCTCTCAAATTAAATTTAAACTCCTCAGCCTCTCTATTCTTTCTAAATCTTCAAATTGACTCTCCTCTACTACACTCACTTCTTATTACTACTTGACTCACCACTTCAGCCAAGGAAGTCTTCTTGCTATTTACCTTCCTACAGAATGCTTAGGTTATAAGCACCCACTCAAGAAAATCTTCTGATTAATACTCTCTAACAGTAATCATCCAAGGAACTTACGCCCTTTTTCCCTTTATGGGTCAGGTTCTATCTCATGTTATAATCCTCAACTTTTTCTCCCCAGCACATATCACCCCCAATTCCTAATAAAGCACTGCACACACAATAAGCACTCAAATATTTAAATGTGACATTTGCACAGCAAACACAATAAAAAGCAGAGAGAGATAGAAAGATATGGTTTTATACAGTTCATCTGCGTTAAGTGAAGCTCGTAACAGTAACAACGTGACAGTAACATGTGATGGTCAGGATGCCAGGAGCTCTCAGTGTTCTGCATCCACAATCAAAGCCAAAGCAACATTTCAACAACTAACAAACCCAGAAACAACACTCCTTAGAGCAACTCAAGGTTATAGCCATTTTACAAAGGACAATTTTATACGTAATTCATAAAAGGGACTGCTGGAACTCTGGTGAGCCATCATGTAGAAGATTACCAGCGGCAGAGGACCTTCAAATACAACGGACTAAAATTTCAGTTAACTTATTAAACCGACATCACAGAAGACAATTCAAAATGTCAAAATATGAAACAGCTCTAGATCTTAACATTTCTATAATCAAGTCACAGAATAACTTCTATCACTAACTGAAAAAGATAAACACTGCCAAAAACAGGTTCCCAAGAATACCATCATAACATTTTACCTTTTCACTACTGCAAAACCAAAATAACCTGATTTTAACTATTTTTCATAGAATGCCAACTACATCTATGATTCAGGACAACAATGCACTGCCAACAAGGACACAACTTAGGAACGGACTCAAGATTCTCTGTCAGTACTGAATTGACAAAGGCATTTAAGAGTAAGCTGAAATCTAGCTAAGATTAGATATCCTGAAATAAGGTAAAGCATGACTGCTATAGTCTATTTAGGTGAAAAGAAGCAGTTTGCACAATCCTCTTTCCATTCTTACTGGTAAAGGAATAAAAATAAAGCAGCACCTTCCACAAGTAGAAACACAGAACCAGATGGGAATGAATAGCTGTTCAAAGCCTTCAAGCAGTAGTCCCATGATGTATTCTATATTCTAGGACTTTTTTCTTTCTTTGGCAGGGCACAACAACCAGCTTTATGTGGACAGGTTAGATACTAAGAAACATGGTTCTCTCACTGTAGTTTTCCCTTCTCATCATACTCCTACAATTTGGTATATAGTCAGCAGCAATAGACTGCTCTGCTACATATGTAAACAATTTGAAACCTGAGCCAAGGGGAATCAGAGCCTTTATTTTGTGTTTGGGGCCACAGCTATGTAAGTAAGAGGGTACAAGTGAGTTTATACTCAATCAACAAAAGAAGGGTAGAACCAACCCTGATTAATAAAGGGAAAGAGGGGCGCCTGGGTGGCTCAGTCGGTTGAGCGTCCGGCTTCGGCTCAGGTCACGATCTCGCGGTCCGTAGGTTCGAGCCCTGCGTCGGGCTCTGGGCTGATGGCTCAGAGCCTGGAGCCTGCTTCTGATTCTGTGTCTCCCTCTCTCTCTTTCCCTCCCCCGTTCATGCTCTGTCTCTCTCTGTCTCAAAAATAAATAAAAAAACGTTAAAAATTTTTTAAAAAAAATAAAGGGAAAGAACTTACTGTGACATCTAGGTGCACAAGTGAACTCTGAGCCCTGGCAAGAACAGGGGCCAATTATGGGGGTTTCCCCATAATTTTTTGTAACTAGCTAAAGAGTACTGCAATTTATAAAAAGTACTTTGTACTTTTTAAAGAAAAAATTATAAACAGCCACTCAGATTTACATATGTGTGCATTGAGTATCTCTGAAAAGATACTTAAGAAATTAATTTCATTGGCTACCTCCAAGGGTAGCTGGAAGACTTCCCTGTATCCATACAAAAAGCAATTAACATACATACATAATGTTAAACTCAAAATTAACTGGAAAAATAATCATTAAAAGATGTCTTGATAAAAAGCGATTTCAGATCTTTGCACAAGCTATGAAATTAAGCTGCAGTTTCCTAACCTGTAAAATAGGGATAAAGAGACAGCAGGACATGATCAATGGTTTTCAAATGGTATTTAAGGGCTGTGTGCCCGTTGGGCACATCATTCCCTTTTTAATCTTTTATTTCTTCTCTCTTCTGTGTTTCTTTTCAAGATATTCAAGCTCAATTAAAAGAAACAAACGAAAAAGAGACAAAAAAACAGACTCTGAAATATAGAGAACAAAGTGATGGTTGCTAGAGAGGAGGAGGAATAGGTGAAAGGGAGTAAGCGTATACTTATTATTGTGGGGCACCTGGGTGGCTCAGTCAGTTGGGTGACCAACTCTTGATTTCAGCTCAGGTCTCGCATGATCTCATGGTTCTTGGGACTACTGTTAGTGGGAGGACTGCTTGGGACTCTCTCTCTCTCTCCGCCCCTTCCCCAGCTTCCACATGCATGCCCTCTCTCTCAAACATTAAAAAACAAAAAAAAACTTAGGGGCGCTGCCTGGGTGGCTCAATCGGTTAAGCATCCGACTTCAACTTAGGTCATGATCTCACAGTTCCAGAGTTCAAGCCCTGCATTGGACTCTGTGCTGACAGCTCAGAGCCTGGAGCCTACTTTGGATTCTGTATCTCCTTCTCTCTCTCTCTGCCTCTCCCCTGCTCGCTCTGTCTCTGTCTCTCTCCCTCTCCAAAATAAGCATTACAAAAAAGTACTTATTGTGATGAGCACTGAGTATAGAATTGTTGAATCATTACACTTTACAGCTGAAACTAATAACTGTATGTTAATACTTGAATTTTTAAAAAAATGTTACCAGGAGAAAAAGAATGACATTTAGGCTCAGGTTTTAATACCTTACTTCACCATTACTAGCTGTGTGATCCCAAGAAAGTTACATTACCCCTATTTTTTTTTAATTCGTAAAATTTGCAATAATACCATCTACCTCAAAGGACCATTGTAAACATTAAGATCAACATCTGAAACAACTGGCACAGTGTCTGAGGACATAGCAGCCCTTCAACAAATGGTACGTAACATAATTACTTATTAAGTACTTCCAGAGTTGCTGCAATACTAAACGTTGGCTACTTAGCTTGGTTACACATTCTTGATTTTTTCTGGATTCCTATACTCCCTCTATCATTACCTCTTAAGTTTGCATCTATCTTCTTTCCCAACTACATTAAAAGTTCTGAGGGTAAGTCTTACTTTTTTTTTTATGACTCTTTCAGAGACCCTAATACAGTGTGAACGTAACATCTGCCAGTTGGGCCTCACCTGTTCGCCAGAAAACATCTGCAGTTTAGACACAACAATTTAAGAACTAATCAAAGACCTGCTTTGGATACTACCACCTCCATTCTACCACTTTTAATTATGTTGAAAGAAGAAAAAGAATTAAGACACTAAGAAATTTTGCAACCTAGTTTCCATGTCACTGATCCACACAGTGGCATTTTAACTATTTTATATTAAAGATTAAGGCCCTTTATCCACTACTCCTTGAAAATCAATTAACTGTTACAAATACCTATCAGAATGTATCCAAATTTATTCAAAACAACCCAAAGAAACAATGTCAAATGTTCTGTACTTTTACAGGCATAAAAATAGATGTAGAGTTCCTTTCAAGAAGGATAATTTTTATATTTCAATGTAACTTGCTAGATAAAATGAATTTTTTAAAACATAATGCAGACCGGGTCAAAGCAATTTCACCATTTTAAGTAAACTAACATTTCTAAACTCTTTATTCCATGCAAAAGAAAAGGCCTACTTAATGTCTGAAGTAGCAGGCTATGTTTCTTTCTGGGCTTCTGTAAAGGGAAAATAATAACCATTAAAATTTTACTCACAGGATTGTACTGAAGAGCAGAGACATAAGCTTGCACTGCCCCTTCCATGTCACCTGCTGCTACCAATGCAGCTGCCAGGTTAATATAACCATCGATGAAATCTGGTTTGAGACGCAATGCATGCCGGTAATGCTCAATCGCTTCCTGCAACTGCCCTCTTTCCTTGTACACGTTCCCCAAATTCGAATAGGCTTCTGCCAGAAGGGGGTTCTGTTTAATCGCCAGAGTGCTAAAGTGAGCAGATCTGGAAAAAGCGAAGTGTTGGCACATGGGTATGCATCTTACACAAGAGGGTACGGCCCATAAGCAACTCAGTTTCTGAAGATCCTGTGCTATTATTGCTAGTTATGTAACAATACATTGTCTTTTAACTAGTGTATAGTAAGAAAACTTTTGGAAATCAAAGTTCTAAATTTCAAATCAGAATCCTTTTTTCTTAGGAGATAAAATTCTTACTAAAGTCTTATTACTGAACTGCCACATAGGAAGCCATGAACACTAAGAATGAAAATGCTATGTGCAGGACTTTCATCTCATCTTCCATTTCTTAACATATAATGACACACATCTTTAAATGTCTAAATAAGCCAGAATGGCAATCTATTAAAAGGATAAGAACACAGATTCCTCCCTTTTGATTAATTCAGCTGATTAGCTAAAAGTAGCATATCATAATGACTTGTGCATTTGCAACTTCAACCACATATGCATCTCCTAACACAGCAATATACACCCTCATTTCTGAGCATTTCCATTCCTCAAGCTGACACATCTTACAAAGGTGAGACTGGATGCTCAGATGCACACTAAGAATAATTTATTTTCTGAACAAAGAAAGCAGATGTAGGTGGGGGGAAAAAAGCCAGAAAAGGTCCCTAGCCATACTGACAATATAACCAGCACCACAAAAGGGAGAAAAACTGGCAGCTGGGCATGTCACAAGTGGGCAAAAGAGCAGATGTGCGTTGGTGGCTCAGTTGAAACCCAGTACTGGAAAAATTTCCAGTTCAAATATTTAAGTATCATTTTTTAGGCTCAACACCCAGAGGCAGCAATCACCAGCAGGTACCCCCCCCCCCCATCTCCTACCTGTCCAGCCTTCGACACTGGAAGTGTATAGATGAAAGTAATAAAAGCACACCAGTATTGTCTGGCTCTTGTCTCCAGAGCTGCATGCAGTGTCTCTCAGCTGCCTCAAAATCTCCTGCCTGATATTCTCGATGTGCCAACTCAGCTAACCCTTGGAAGGAAAGCATACGTTTCGTTGGTTCTGGAGAATCATCAAAACATTTGAGGGAAGGAGGGGGGAAAACAAAAAGTTAGAAATGCAAACAAAAAAATGTAAAAATATGGTATATTAAACTCAAAGATGAAAACGCTTGAAACTATGTAAAGCACTAGAGTGTTCTGCACTTTATTTATACCCCCAAGTTAACATCAGGTGCAGAAGTGGTATTTTTAGAATTCAGCATTAACTTTTCTTTCCCAGACAGAAACATTTACTTCCAAATAAGATTACATTTTATGAACAAATATACTTTGTACTTTTAAATTATAAATCAGAGGTAGCATCTAAAGATTCACTACACATTATTCCTTACACCTTAGTTAACATACAGAAACAAAACACAAAACGTGATTTGCAAAGTCACAAAGATTTAATGATGTCAGAATAACCTACTGGAAACAGAATACTCTGTCCCATGCTTTAGGTTGGATTTGCGGGAGGTGGGGGGTGGAGTACTGGTAACTCTCTTAACCTGAGTAGCAACACCAGATGTGTTTTTAACTCTTAAAATTACATTGATGTTTTTGCAGATTTCACAACTTAACTGCTTGATTCAATTAAGGGATACACTAGAAACCAGAAGAGGGGGAAAAACCCTGAAAGTAAAGGTGCTATTTTTAAAACAGCTGATAAACAAGATGAATTAGTCTCTCAAGAGCCCAAATATTTAAAAGGGTCATCAGACATTTTAAATAAAGACCCACGATTATATCGCTCCTCTATTACCCCAAATTCACAATGGAAACCAAATTAGCTAAATCCCACCCACACTGGTTTAAGACTAGCATTTTCCAAAGAGCTCTGACACCGACTAAAGGATCAAGACATTGCAAACAACCCTACATAAACCAAGCAGTCGCCTACAATTGCAACAGTTTTTTAAAAGAATGGGGAAATGCTAAAGTATATAACCACTGGATAAAATGTGACAGAATGAATAACAAATGAAAAGCATTTTGCTGCATCTGACTTAAATCAGATACATAAAGACTAAGGGTGCAGCTAAAGCCCAGAGAGGGGAGAAAAACAAGAAACTGCCTAAGTCTCGATTGTAAACACTTAAACAATGACACATTACTAGGAAGTTAACCATAGCACTTTCATTAGGAGGTTGGAATGGGAAATGATGTACAAATTACTTAAATTCTACCAAGGTCATAGGGACAAGCTCAAACTTTAGCCTAGCTCCCCAACCATCAGAGCTGGCAAGTTATCTGTATACTCAGGAAAGCAAAGTAAATTTCCTGACAGAATGTAAAGCTGACCACTACACCACAGCAGCGACTTGCATCCAAACCTGGGTGAGGTTCTACCCCAAACAGAAGCTAGAGAATCAATTACACTTTAGACCTTCCTAGCTCCTTAACACATCACTTTATCAACTTTTCAAAGCCCCTTATCTGCTAATATTAACACTTGAAATGACAACTTCCTCAAATAAAATAACACACACAGAAAAGGCCAAGCTACTACAGAATCTTAAATCTTTCAGAATCCCTGGAAGGGGAACACCCACTAATTATTAACCCCACTACCTACAATCTCGTGAATAAGATACAACTGAAGATTCGCCTACTACTTGCTGCAGAATGTCCAAAAATAATAAAACCCTTGACATATCTCAACTGAGAAAAAAACAAAATAACTTCGTGGGAAACCTTAGAACCACAGCCCAGTTCCCCCCCTTCCACCCCAAATAGCCTCAATAAGGAAAGGCAGCTGAAGGACACTCCTATAATTTGGTTCTCTTATTTTTAGTACCGAATGCTCTCGACTGAATGGTCTAAAAGGGCAACCGCCTTGCACTTGTGCAGCTACACTCCAGTTGCTTTACAAACTCTTCAAGCAGGGATGAAAACTTAAAAAAAAATAACATACCCTATGAATAAAGAGATACCAAGCTAAAGAATGGGGATGGAAGACCCAGAGGAGGCGGCGGAAGAATACAGGGAGAAAGTAACACAAAGCAGGAATTCGGCGGGCAGGGTAGTCAACGCCAAAGCACCAGCGCCAGGCCGGTTTATCCCCAAGGATAGGAAGTGGCCCGCAGGGCTGGCAACCTCGCAAAGGAAAGGGTGTGGTTCCCCGCGGGAGGGGAGGGAAGACGGGGTGGGAGATCCAGGCTGGGGGCAGCGGGTGGAATCGGGCGGTGGCCAAAGGAACCCCTGGAAATTTCCAATCGAGGCCGGGGCCGCTCGACCGAAGGAACACCAAAAAGGCGCTGCCCAGCGGGGCGCCGCTCAGTATCCCCTCTTCCGAGGTTACTTACAGCACACCCAAGGAGCTTTTGCTCGTCCTCGGGTGATGCAAAGTGAGGCTATGACTACATCGGAATGGCACCCCCGCCCTAGACTGACAGAAAAGAACCAAATCCGGCTAGGGGGAAAGGGCTGGGGTGGGGGGCGGTTGGCCGAACTGGGGGGGGAAACGGGCTGCGAAGGAGAGGGAAAGGGCAGGGATTCCAACGCTGTCCATTCCGAGACATTCTAAGCGCGCACGTGTGGTAGAAGCGTCCCGAGAGAGTAGGAAGCTAGAAAATTGATGGGATTAAAAAAAGCAAAAAATGGAAGCAAAAAGCGAACAAGAAAGAGGAAATGTTTGAGGAGCGAACAGCGGAAAACCCGAACAGATGCCGGTAGACGACGAAAAGCTCAGCAATGCCGCCGATGTGATGGGGATGGCTAGGGGAAAGGAAGGGAGTGACGAGAGGTAGACGACGGCGCGAGACCCCAAAGGGACTTCTGCCAAGGTAGAACGGACACCGGTACCTGTGCTGTCGGCCACGTTGCCCACGGAAGACGCCATCTGGAGCTTCTTGGAGGAGAACGAGAAGGGGGTAGTTGACCTACTGCCGCCACTACTGGCAAGAATGTTTCTGGAGGTAGTAAGTAAGAGGGCAGCAGACACACCAGTATTTTGGCAGGCGTAAGCGGCGGCAGCAGTTACAGGCTTCGAACCTTAGAAGTCTGGTTGGCCATCTACCTCTCACGGTCTTGAAATGGCGGCGACGGCTCCTCGGCTGAAACAACACGGGCCGGAACTACTTTCTGTTACAATCAAGTACCAGCGCGGAGGTAGCGCGGTAACCAGCGCAACCGACAAAATGACTATAATCAATGTCGCTAGCTCTTGTGTAACCTTCCGCCCGGGCCCATTGCGACAAACACGATTGTGGCGAGAGCGCATGCGAGCAACCCTGTCAACCTTACCCGTGGTTAGGGCACCGTCTGGGGCAGGAGCGGCCAAGTTTTTCAATAGCGAAGCGGAGGCTTAAAAAGAAACCCGTCTATAAAACGAAAATATTTTTGCCGGAGTTATACAGTCTATTACCTACCCAAGAGTAGATTTTAAGGTAAATGCCAGAGGCGTCTAAAAAAATCTCGTCAACTTTATTCGTGTAAAAATCGATAGTTACAAGGTTGATGGATCAACCTGAGCAAGTGAATTTAAATGTTTATATTTCACAGACTGAACTGTTGTTTGAAACGATGGCGGAGAAGGTTATGATTTGAACAAGTCTTAATTCTGACTCCAGCCACTGATTTAAGCACTTCGATGAAAAACACTGATAACTTTCACAGGGCCAAATGAACCCAAACATCTCAGATGTTAGCCATATAGCCGGAAATTTCAAAATCGTTTTGGTGTTCAGCGTAGTTCTGCCCACGGTATTGAGGCAAATGCTTCAAATGCCTTGGCATTCCAAAGGCAACCATAAAAATGTTAAAGATGATTCATATTCGTCAAAATCCTTCACTCCCTTCGGACTTGTGACTTCATTTCCATCATACAGCTTTGCAAATCCTAACAATCGATGATTCCATTTAGCTCAAGGCAGCTCGACAATGACAGATGAATTCACTTGCCATCTACCTAAAACCACACATCTACATTGAGTCTGAACTGCCTCCACTTTCTTGGACAAATCACCTCTTATGATCCCCCCGTAGTTTCAAGTCCGTTGTTCAGATATTTTGTAACATAGGTATTAATCTGTATCTCCTTGCACAAAGGATTTAAGGTAACTTGCCATATCAGCAAGAAATTATTATAATCTCGTGGAGGCAACAAGGTGGATCTCTCAGAGCCTTGTATTTCAAAGTTACCCTTGATCTAAGAAAACAGGTCAGTAAATTTCTTTTAAACCTTTCTACTACCTAGTCATTTGACTACATTAAAATAAAAAAAAAAAAACTAAGCCCTCCAGTTCTGCTTCAGTTTCTTCAAGACAGCTCACAAACTGTTAATTATGCATATGAGCACAGAGAAAATTCATATGAGAATTTCTTCCATCACATCCAATAATTAAGAGTCGCATGCAATGAAAAAGACAAAGTTCACTCCACAAACTCTTGCTGAAAATTGGGTACCACTTTCTTCTCTCAAATTGATTTAACCTGGAAAGCCTTTTCTCCCCCTTTCATTACGAGTGCCCCACCTGTGGTAAATAAACTCAGCTTTTCAACTTTTAGAACAGACTTCTCAGATGCCACTGGCAGATGTTTAGGCCTTACTGATCAGTGGGTGCTAGCTGATTAAGTAAAATTCTTTTTGTCGTTCAATGCCAGGTCCTGTTCCCTGTCAGGTAGGTTATTTGACCTATCCATACTTGTGATCTGAGTTTCCTTACCCTGAGAGAAGAGTCAGAGAATGTTATGATACATTTCCTTGCTGGGGAAAGCTGGATGGTGGGACTCACAGTGGTTCCATAGGGAAAAAACCCAGCTGAACTCTCAAGAACCCCCTCCAGGTACCTTCCAGGCATAGCACCTGGAAGGTTTAGTTTGAAGGATTTACTCAATAGATAAACATGCCGTCTTTGGCCAGTCCAGTAAATTTACTAGAGTCTCTGTGCCAGGCACCGCGGGGAACACAAAAAATCAACAAGACCAGATCTTGCCCCCAAGGAACTTGAAGCCCAGTTAGGTAGACACTAAAAAGCCACTAGAGCATAAAACAGAAGAGTATTATTTAGGTGATAAATTACATTCGGGTCTATAAATATCTGGGGGAGGGAATAGACACTTCAGGCTGGAGGAGGGTGACCAAGAAGGCCGGACGTGGGCAGTGAAGAGGGTGCTTTTGTGTATTCTCTTTCACACAGATTTCTGTGGATTTTTTTCTCCCTTTTATGTGCAGCAATTCTAAATTCAGAATCATCTGAAATAAACCAGCAGCTTCTTCCACCCCAATGCAAAACTTTGTTTTCCCACTAACATCGCGAGTGGCGCATTAGGTTTTTGTTACCGTGTAGCAAACGACCACAAATGTAGCGGCTCCAAAGAGCACCCGTTTCTCCGCGCTCGCGCCAGCTCCGGGCGAGGGAGCGGGAGTCACGCTCTGTCCGCGGCCGCCGCCTCCCGCCGCGCCGCTGCCGCCGGAAAAATGGCTCCAGAGGTTCAACGAAGCTGCAGAAACACACGGATGTCGACCCGCGGGCTCTCCAGATGTTCGGGGATAACATTCCAGAGAGAGAGATTGATCCCTCGGGGTCCGCAAACTAGCCACCACGAAGAAAATCCGTCTTAAACCCTTCCAGAAATATTTGAACCTGAATAAAAGTCCACGAGAAAACGGACTTCACGGTAGTACAAGAACCATCAGCAGCCAGGGAGTTTGGAAAACACGATGCCTTATTTGGTAGCCGCTAAGATGGAGATGTGAACAGCTGTGATTATCAACGGTCGAGATGAAAAAGTTGGGGAAAAAAATAGATCAAAGAGTGAAACCTTAATGGGTACATTTAAAAGGCTCCTTTCTGCAGAACAAAAGCAGGAAGGCTAGGGGAGCACACGCTCTAGGAGCTCTGCCAATTGAGGATACCTTTTCCTCTCCTCAGCACTGATACTCTTTAAAGGTGTGCGCGCGCTCAGGGGCGCCAGAGTGGCTCAGGTCATGATCTCACCGCTCGTGGGTTCAAGCCCTACACCCGGCTCTCTGCTGTCAGCACAGAGCCCGCTTTGGATCCTCTGTCTCTATCCTTCTCCTCTATCCTTCTCCCTTTCTCACTCAGACACACTCTCTCTCAAAATAAACATTAAAAAAAAAAAAAAGATTCAAAGACCAATAAAGTCTGCTTCTCTTGATGGCAACCATCACTACAGTCTCACCGGTGCCCTCTTGACCCACAAACTCTGAAGAGAGGTGTTTCAAAATGCAGGAGGCAAGAGTCAAAGCTTTGGTTCATCCAGCATAGAATGATCTTTGAAAAGATTTTCACAACCTAAGGAACTGCGTGCCAAGAACAAAAGAATTCACCAAAGAGTTCAGAATCTCAGAAGGGAGATTTGCATCGTCACCTCAATGAACACGTGTCTGTACTTACTGGACCTACACCTCAGTACTGCATTCGGTGTTCTGTGCCTGTAGGTGAAGGGATGTGTTCTTTGGAAGGATCATCCAGCTATTGTCTGATCAGTTCGTCTCCCATGGAAGTTTCTGCAGTTCCTTCTCAAGTGGGAGGGAACTCTTTCTCTGAAAATGGAAGTCAGGTCGACCAGGGCCTACAGTCATTGCCCCAGAGATCTTTGTGGATCAGTCTGTGAATGGCTTGCTGACACTATAGGCATCACATTGCAGAGCCCAAGAGTAAGTCATGACGATGTCCCTCCACGCTCACCATTACTACCTCCAATGTGGAATAATCAAATCCAAAGCAACTTTAGTGGACTCACTGGCACAGATGTCCTTGTGTCTAACAGTATGTGCTATCATTTCAATGTTGGTCCTGACTCTGCTCCTGGGGTTGCAAGAGTTTATGAGTCAATGGAAAGTAGTGGTCTTATGGTTGTGACAAGAATGACAGAGGTGCTGAAAAAACTTGTGAACTAAAGATGGTCCTGGGAACTGGTCACATGCTGGGAGGCAGAAGGGAATCTAGTAAATGTGCCAGATGGTGCTTTTCTTGTTCTGGATAGTTCTGATGACTGTAATCTTTTAAGCTCAAGCTTTCACTCCCATGGTGAAACATATCACACTAGAATTGAGCAAACAGTCGGTTTCGCTTTTGTGAACAACCAGATGTGGATGGACAATTCCTGATCTAAATAAATATTCAACCAGGGACTCTGAAAATAGAGCTTTTCGTTATTCAGGGCCTCCGTTGCCTGAATCTGCCATTTACCCTTTTCAAACTGACCAGTTGGGTGTTGTGATTCATGCAGGTGCGTTCTTTGCAATACCTGCCTCATTTTGTTATGTTTCTGTATACCAAAATAGACTTAATTCAAAAACCGCCTTTGCCAACAAAATGAAGGATTATGGACAGGAACAACATTAATGAACATTAGCAGAACCCTACATCTTGCACTTTTTGAGTTCAAGAAAAAGATTGAAATATAGTTTGCAAACTTTCATTGCTAGTAAAAACTTTTGCTGCTACAACTGTTACAGTTTTCAGTGCAAAGAGTAATCAATTTGTTTAGGGGCGGGGAAGTGTCAGCAAGTTATCATGTGTTTATTTTGGGTTCTTTAAAAAGAAAAGTCTTGGGGACGCCTGGGTGGCTCAGTCGGTTGGGCGACTTCGGCTCAGGTCATGA